GCCTATTGGATCTGGAGCGGATTCAAAACTGTGATAAATGCAGAATAACTTGTCCTGGGAGTTGATTCTGATCGTCACCTCTCAATTGGATACTCACTACGAGGAGGGAAACAGTACTTTAAAATAAAAGCACTGCTCCACAACCTCCCTACATTTAAAATTCCACTTTGGAATCAGGACCCAGCATCACCACTGCTCTTGCTGATATCAAAGGTATTTTATGAGGTGCCTCCGACAGATTTTTAAGGTTGGAATCATGTTGCCAGCATTGCTCACATACTATCAGGTCAGCGAGACCTGATGTCAAGCTTCACAATCATTATCAAACAATACGTAATTTGCTCTTATGTTCGTTTAGCATGAAACACTTGAAATAACTAAAGGATCATTTAAAAAAGAAAGTAGAAAGAAAATGAGGTCATAGAAAACTATTTCTGCTAAAAAGTAGCAATAGCAATGATGGAGAGTCAGACCTAAACATTTCAGATGTGTGTATCTCATGTTTTATTATCTTTAGTCATTTTATAATATGTTTATTAATGCTCTTAATGCCTTTCATTTATGTAAAGCCCTTTGAATTGCCTTGTGTTGAAAGGTGCTATATAAATAAACGTGACTTGCCTTCAAGTGTGAGATTACAAAGCAATGTGACACAGTGTCAATTCATGTTGCACGTGTTAATGACATGGCTTCAGAGTCATTGTAAGATTTGGAGTGCTCCTGCAACATGGCTCCTTACTCCTAAGAAGCAAACAGCAAATTGAGCTTCATAATAACCGCCTTGACTTAAGGGCTTATTTGGTTGCTGATGTTAACTGCAGCAGCCGGATCACCTGTAGGACACACCGAACATAAACTCTCATGTGCAAAAGCTCTCCCTCAGTCAGAACGCAGGCTGCAGGGTTGGCTGTGTTTAACGATACAAACTGTAGCATACGCAGCGGCTCTGTGGTTCAAAATAGACTTTTTATTGGGTTGTTTTACAGCATAAAGGGTGTGCTCCTGCAGAACGCTCCAAGCTCAGGTTTATAGACGCAGTCCGTCTGAGTTGGTGGTTCGTGGGCCAAGTTTGTTAACTTGTGTAAAACCAGGCTGTGGTTACACAACCCGTCTAATGTGCCCCCCCCCCCCTAGGTCGCAACACAACCCCTACGAAAACTTTTCGGTACAATACATTCCTACGCACAGTTATTCAAAATAATAACGCCCTTTTTTACTGACGAAAAGTACCCGATGTATGTAAATTAGAGTGTAACGGTTTCATACCGGAATGGCAGAGCATAAAAACTCTGAAAGTCGACCACAAAAATCCAAAATGTGTATTCCCCACTTTGTGGTAAATGAGACACATTTATTTTTGTGTTTTTTCGTAACCATTTTTGTTTGCTTGGTTTGGACGTACGATTACTCGCTAATTTTACCTTTGTTAGTTTTTAATACTTTGTAACTACCTTGTAGTGCCCACCAGTCCGTTTTTACCATTTTTCCGTGGTGCAGTCATCCTATGTACATGTAGTCGCTGGTCTGACAAGAATTGTGGTAAATTACCCTCGGATGTTTTTCAACTACCAAAGTCAGACCTGGTTCGACTGACTGGGTAAGTGGGTGTAAATGGGAGGGGTAGGTATTCCAATCAAACCGTTCGATGGTAATGATCTTGTTACAAACGTCTACTTGGGATAGTCTGATCGTCCACAAATAAGAAATTGGTCTACGTATGGGAAATCGCCGACTGAGTATTCGCCGGTGTCTCGACAAAAATCGGAGTAGGTGTCACGGTCCTAGGCCACGGATTACGTCGTCCACAGTTCCGAGGAGTGGACTTCACTGAGTCCTCAGCGGCGGACAAAACCAGGTAGTCTCAACAAATATCGACGAGATATGTGGATGCCCTGATAAGCGTTGTTTGTACGTCTCAGATTGCTTCCGTTGGCGGAAAAGTTATTTCGTGACACAAATGACAGCTAATAGTTGTCAAGATTGTTTGTGAAAGTTTTGTTTGACACATGAAACATCCCACGAAAACCCCACAATTGTACTATAGTAAACGAGTTTGACACAACCAAAACGGCAAAAACGTCCGCTTGCATAGCAGGAAGACGTTGTCTAGGACCTCCCTTCAGAAGGCAGAGACTGTCTGGACTTACAGGGCTGTAGCTGATGTACAGGCCTCCGGAGTGCCTGGACGAGTTCCTGCCGAAAGTCGTACAAGGTACTTCCAGTCTATAACGACTGATGGTGTGTATGTGGTGTAAGTTTGTGTGTAAGTTGGTGTGTGTGTGTGTGTGTGTTTGTTGTGTGGTGGTGTGTGTGTGTGTGTGTGTGTGGTGTACACATAATTACCCCAGTCAGTCGAGACACTATAAGGAGAATGGGAGGAAAGCGTGTTGATGGGTGACACCGCTATTTCACGGGAGAAGGTGACGGACATATACTGGACTAAACTTTAAACTCATCCGAATAGTACAGACGTGTACAAGTGACAAATGGGAAAGCTGGTTACTTGGTAGTTTTCGAGACATCATGAAAAAATATATACTAAAAACTACACGGATGAATATTTCCAAGATTGTTGATACGTTTCATATGTTAACATAAGTTTGTATAAACAGAATTGTTATAGATTTATTCGTAGATTCGTACTGTGGGTCAGGACAAACGCGTGCTTTATATAAGGAAGTTGTACGATAGACCATAATTCCTTGACTACGAAGGGTCTTTGTCTTTGGTGAACCTTCTCTTTGTCTAATGACAGTCACTAACTTGCAGTATTCATTGTTCTTTGGGAAAAATAAGCAATACTAGGAACAGAAATTTGTTACAAAGTCATCTTATCCTTAATAAGCGTCCTCAAAATGTGTTATACAGTAAAAATAAGGTAAATAAGAATCTTGAAGCATAAGGAGAAGGGGGTGTAAATCTCGTAGTCACGCTCTATGTTTTCTCGTCTTACAAACCCAACATAAAGTATAAGGAGGTTTTCTACGCATTAAAAACCCGAACACCCATTACAACTAGGGTGGTGTCAGACTAACAGAGTGGACGACCCGGACGAATTTTGTCTACTATT